TCTGAGATGGGGAGTTTCAGATAACAGAATGTAAATCTTTATTACATTTTAACATGTGCAGTACTTGAAACAGTAAAAACTGAAACAGAAATTGTCTCTAATGCATTTACAGTCTCGTAATCCAAGGTATATATAGGAAATCACAAATAAACCCCTTTTAAGTTTTCTGCTGCTGTTCTGATGAATTATGTTTTCTTTTGTTTTGGATGTGAGTTAATAACTAAAATATTAAATCTTGGACTTCTGACATTTATTTTCTTAGTACTGCAAGAATACTACTGCCAAGTCTAGTTTCTGGATGAATATATACATGTTCCTTAGGCTGCCACATGGACTCCAAGTAAAAATGTAATAAATACCTAAAGTAGTAGTTTTATTGAAACAGCAGATTTTCGTTTCTCCGTAATTTTTTTTTCTTTAAAATTCGGTCACAATAGAAGAAATAGCTTGAGAAAGGTGTTTTAACCTTTTGTGATATAGTAAAGCATCCAGAATATTAATGTTCATCTTACTGCTGCTGTGGAACAGGTTCTGGATTTCATGCTGCATTAACAAAAAGGTTTTCAATTAAATGTAAGTATCCTTTGTTGCTTGTTGGAATCTATTCTGCAGACATAATTCCTGTTATCTTGCTTATAAGACTTGCATAATTTTAATCCGGTATCAGTCCAAAATTTAAAATTGTGCTGTAAGTTCTCTCTCCCCAGTTTTCGTAGTTTGACAGTTTGCAAACAACTCTGTCTTAAGGTCAGAGTTAATAGTGTTCTGTATCCATAGTAATGACTGTGTGTCAGGCTTAGTTGAGAATTTTTCCAGTATAACCTGCCTTTAAATTGTTAATTAACAAAATCACTTTAAAGGTAGGCCTGTTAATTTTCCGTGTGTGTTCCTGATGGAATTCACCATAGCCTTACAGCATATCTGAAAAGGTAACTCATAAATATAAGAGAATTGGCATTTGCATGTTCAAGTCAGAACCTGTACAGTATATAAGGTATACAAACTCCGAATTGGATTTCAGTTAACTCTGTTCAGGGGTCCAGGATGCCAAAGTAAGTGTGACAGTTTGAAACTTTTTTTAATTTGCTGCTTTCCCATTTATCTAGTTGGAAGAATGTATTGTTGATTTGTATACAATACTGCCTTTGAGAGGGGCTCTTCAGTGTGGGGGCACATGTCACATATCTACTACCTGGAGAATTGCTTTGTGTCCCACTGTTTAAACAATTGAAAAAAGAAAAAAGCAAAAAGTATGATGTTCTTCACTTGAACTAATCAAATACAATAGGTTATAAGTTGTGTATTGTAAATAAAAGTTCACTCTGTGAGTGCACATTTTGGTAAATTATTTATTTATGTTAGCATTAAGAAGTTTAAAAAAATTGCATTTGACCAGGATATAAATGAGGTATGTTGGACATGGCTTTGCTTTATACCTTGATATTAAAACTGGTGTTTCATCCTGGTATTTTAAAGCTGCTTTGAGGTTTGTTTTTTTTAAATGTAAACTAACCTCCTGCATGACAGAGGTTAAAATTTTGTCTGCACTTGAGTTCACTTGGGTTTACATTTGAAATGCGCATGTTAATTTATACAGATTTCAATAAAGCTATTCAAGGCCTTATTTAGTGTTTCCTTTTGTTACAAATTCTTCTTCCACAGTGTTTTTGTAATGGATAATCTTTCCGTAAGATTTATATTCTTGGTTACAAAGTGGCTATTTAATGACAAAAACAGAGTGAGATTAATAGTATTTCCAGAAGTTAGTATATGTAAAAGGGTTTCTCTCCTGTCATTGGCTCTAAAAACATTTATAAGGCCACAAAAAAAAAATAGTGTATTGTCATAAATGCTTACTTTTTTTAGAAGTAACACAGTAACAGTAATTAATCAAAATGAAAGATACTGAGATAGTTGATGAAATGAGGGAATATATTTAAGATTAGACAGTGGGGAGGAAATGATAGAAACTTTTAATTTAAAACCTTTTATTTAGGTTTGGAATACAGTAACCCAGTACAAAGCTATGTTCTAAATGGCATGTGAATTTAACTTGCTTATTTTTAATCAAAGCAGTTGAGAAATGAGATCTGTGGAACAGAGGGCAGTAATCCTAGAGAAGCAATCATCTCTTTCATAACACCCATAGCATCCCTTCATTCATACTCTCATTGGTTCTCCCATACCATGTTAGCATAGAACTTGCCTGGAAAAATCACAAGGGAGCAAAGTATCTGGTTTGACTTAGCAAAGTACTTAGGAGTTCATGGATTGGAGCTTTAATACCTGATAATTCACATCTCCTAACATGCCTCAGTCACCCTTTGAAAATGCAAATATGTATACATGTATGGAATTTTACATTTGAAGGAATGTACTTACCTACGAATAGTGGGATCATCCAACTAGAATTTAAAAGGGTATTGATCATAGTAATAGGTAAATATATATATAGATGTCTTATAATTTTTTCTGTTAATTTCACTCCCAGGATTACACATGCAGAGTTGTTGTCTCCTAATCAGAGATAAAAAGCAGCAACATTTCTGTATCAGTGTCTCAGAGGTTTCTGAGAATTCATTCAAGTTGTGAGCTTTGTAAAACTGCTGTGTATTTATGCATAAAATACAGTAATTCATCCAGTGTGGACATGCTTAAATCTACAGAAAGTGTATTATTATTTACAATATTTATCAAAAGTTCTTTTCACTCAACTAGGCATTTTTTACAGAGAAGAAAAAAGCTTTTTTTATGAGTTGTGTGTGATAAAAATCTACAGTATGCTTTCTTTTTTCATCAAACACCTTGCTGTCAATAAATACCAGCAAAAACCCAAAAATCAAAAGATTTGAGTTAACCTTGTTAATGTGAGAGTCACAGAAATAAAACAGAGTAGGCAGCAGTAAATGGCTTGGAATTCCCAGTTACTCCATGGATTTTGTGGCAGCAATATGTCATTTAAAGCCAGGCTGGGCAGCAAAGAGAGGTGAAGAAATACTGCCCAGGATCTCTTGTTTTAGCTGGCTTCAGACAGTGTTCTGGATGCTTTGATGCAGATTGGTTCCCCTGATCTCTTCTGTCAAAGCCCCACCTGCCTTCCTTTGCAGCTTACAGTTGAGCTAATGAGACAAGATGAGGAAAGCAGTCAGATGTTCCTGTCAGATGATGTAAATACATCTACAGCTGATGGGAGGCCACAACAGCTTCTAGCTTTCCCAGGAAGTTAGCTCTGTGTTATGGAGTTCAGTGTACTATTTTAAGTGATTCGAAGTCTTCAAAGAGAAGTCAGTATGGCAGCCAAAGAAATTGACTGGGAAACTCAACAGTTTTCTTCAAAACTTATGCTGCCTTCTTTAATCTCAGGATTTGTAGTTGCAAAGTATGGTTTTTCATACTTTGTTTCTTTGACAAAGAAAAACCCCATAAATGTAGTGAAACAATTAATAGGAAAGCTATATTTGCTGTAATAAGCATATTCTTAGTCTGCAGACAAATTGCTCTCTTGAGATTTTTTTTTTTTAGTTCTTTTTCCTTGGAGGGTAAACATTGTGAAAACAGTTCCACTTTCCTAGTTCCAAGACTGCATGGTTTACTGGCATCATGTGTTCCTGAGGCAGGCAGAGAGACCTGTCTTACTGAAATCTTCAAATAGCTCCAGAGTAGTCCAAATGTGACAAATTTATTTAGGAAATGAAATGGATTACTATATGCCAGGTGGCATTAACAGTCATCCTGGACCAAATAATGCAGAAGCTGATCCAGAACTCGAAGCAATTCACATGTCCATGTGGTTTTATGAAGAGTACATTTTGTTATTTGGGAAGGCAGTAATTGAAAAGGACAGTTGATAAAGATGATAATATAGGTGCACCTAGAATTATTTCAGTCACCTTAAGTATCACATTACTCTCATCAAAACATGAACATTATGCAGTATTGCCCAATACAAAGTCTAGGAACTGACCAGCAACCTCAAAATAGTTTCCATTAGGAAGTCATCGTGGAATAGAGGTGTCATTGCAGAAGTTAGTGGCACTTGGTCTTAATGTTTTTGTTTGGTGTGCAAAATATTCAGATCGTAGCTACAGAAGGTGGAAAGTAGTAAGTACCCTAAATCCTGTGCAGCCCTAGTGGACAAGCAATTCAGTATTGAAACAGTGGCAAAAGAACTTTGAATTCATAAGCAGAAATGAGAAGGTGATTTAATCTTTCCAGGTCTGTGGCAAGGAGCCTGTGAGAATACACCATTTGAGTAACTACCTTTTAAAAGTTTAGATTGTAACCTGGGAGACATTATAGAAAACAAATTACAACCCCAGAGTGAAAACCTTTGCACTAACAGATGGAGAGAATTGCTTTCTTGCAAAGACTGCTCAGAAGTGCCTCGATTTGCATGCAGTACCTTACAGGAGGGGACATAACTATGCAGTGGGTATTGGAGAGAAACACTCAAAACTGGAACAAGACAATCTGAAAATAGAGGTAAGTATGGAAGTCTTTTATGTAGTTACTTTTTTAGCAAAGAGAAGGAAGATACTAGCAGAATGAGCAGCAAAGGCAAGTGGTGGGTTGTTCTGTTAACTGCAGGCTGGTGCCTTACCTGGGCTGCATCAGAGGCAGCTCAGAGGTGCCATGGCCCTTCCCTTGGTGGGATGAAGACTTAGTCTGAGTCACTTGCCTCAGCTATGAGAATCTGTAAACATCCTGTTCTTTTCAGAAGAATCTTCCCTCTTCACACCTAATTGTGCCCCATTAAAACTCGCTTATAAGTTTTGGATGGAGACCTGAATGTGTAGGTATTGCTCTGAGCTCTGCAGGGTTTGAGGGAAGGCCTTCACTCAGTAATGTTACAAGAATGAAATCTGTACTCTCATTCCAGCATAGCAGATGGTATGTTTTTTCTTCCCTTCCTGCACTATTGCTACCAACTTAAACTCATGAAGCCTCATCAAATCCTGTAAGTCCTCT